GCTTAGTTGGCGCTTACTTAAATGCTAACGAACCCCCGAATTGGTTCCACGATTCTCTGATTTCTGCTTTCAGTTGGCTTAAAAAAAATAATCCGCTTATTTGAAAATATACATTCGATATTATTTCTACTAACCCAAGACCAGAAGATTCTGTATCCACCTCTTTACCTTAAACGTACCAATCTACTGTGAACTCTGTTGCACCCTCGAATATTTATCGAAGTACCCTTCCTGATAAAACACCTCGCCCTCCTGATTTAGTCATCCCCAACGATTCATTTTCTCAGGAAATTCATAACGAAGACTCAAATTATAATCGCTTAATAGCTGGTTTTAATAATAAATAATAATACTAAGCAATTAATTTTGTTCTCTGATCCAAACCTTGAAGCTCTAATTTTTTCTGATTTGTTTTGTTGAGTTGAGGTCATTATGAATTAAGAAGCTTCTAAACTTTCAACCGTCGACTGACAGTTATAGAAAATACATTAACTGAAAATGTTATGCCCCAACCCTCGTATTCGATTATATTGGTATTGGCCTCACTGGTTATACTTAAACCTTGAAAAAAAACTCAATTTTCAAAATCAACATTAGCAACCCGAAATATTAACCACGAACACCATCTAATACAAGCAGATTTGATTACTAAAAGTTCCTATAGAAACTGGAACATACTGAACGAATCTAAAACAATAATGCTACATTCAAATTTGAGAACAGCAACTCCTTTTTTTTAAAAAAAAACAACTTCAGGTTAATACTATGTTAGGCGCGTATGGTCAACCTCAATTATTTTTCACTTTGACCATGGCTGAAGACAAGTGGTTACATCTAACCATGATTCTATGCTTTACTAATAATAATGACACTATCCTAACTAATCACCCATTACACGTATATTTACATTATCGAAACTGTTTAAACAACATTCGTAAAAAATTATGAAAAAATCCTAATTTGGTTCAATGGGGACAATAGTTACATTATTTTGAATATGATGAATTTCAAAACAGGGGAACGATACATACCTATGGTTTTGCTTATACTGAAAAAAATATTACAGAACTTATCTCACTAAATACCATCTGTGCAGACATTCCCGACTCTAATACTGAACCTGATTTATATAATCTAGTAACTAGGTTTCAAATACATTACTGTAACCAAAAATGTAGAAATCAGTATTCTAATAATATATAATGCTCAAAAGGTTTTCCTTAACTCTTGCCTAACACAACCCATTATTCCCCAAACCAACTACACTATGTTTATCGTCATGTTAAAGAGAAAGACAGATACATCGTCCCATACCATCCTGAGACATTGCTTATTTGGCATGCATATATAAACTTCTAATATATTACCTTGATCGGTTTTGCTAAATATATTACAAAATATGTAATGAAAGCAGAACCATCTGAATTATTTGACATTAATGAACCAGATAATTATCGAAAACACGTATTAGCATGAAGACTAGGTGCGATGGAGTTGATAGTACTCTTATTATAGTATCCTCTAATGAGATGTTCGATATCAGTACAATACCTTCTCTTACACTCTCTGAACTGCGTTCCTGCTCCATTAAACCCATCCATTTACTGAACAATATTTTAAACAGCGATGACAACCAAGATAATCAAAAAAACTATGAAAATATTTTTTACTGGGACGACACAATTGACAAATATTTCGATCATCCTAATCATGAAACTTTTCTCAATCTTATCTATTCCAAATACTACAAAAACTATGTAATTAAACCTACTCCGCCTGGCCCTTGCTTAAACTTATTTTACACACAAAACCGTAAAAACAGGATAATAGTTCAAAGAAAACATCCCATTCTTTTACGCTTTATGACTTATAGAGTAGAAGACAGCAAACCATTTTTTTTTACCAACACCTTATTATGAAAATTCCTGCAAGATCAGATAAAGATTTATTGGAAGATTACTCTACTTTTAAGGATCGTTTCCAAGCTATGTTTTTCGTAAAATATAATCAAGCAATTAACCAACTTCGCAAAAGTTATCTTAAACAAAAAAACGATTTGTCAACTTTATACACCTCGTTGCTAATTTCACTTTTACCTGACTTTTCTAACAAAACCTAACGGATCTAATATTTATCAATTGTTATCTTTAGAAAAACATCCTCCTCAACTCAATGCCATGTCTTCTTTATCCCTTAATAATGAACAATATAGAATTTATAGCACTCTTTGTAACACATGGGGTAAATTCCACAACAGAAAATACCATTACTTCTTTTTAACAGGTCCTACAGAAACTGGTAAAACTTTTATAACATTCCAAATGATTTATTTTCTTGTATCAAAAAAAAAAACTCTTCTACTTACTGCCCTACTAGTGTTGCAGCTCAAATAATCGGTGGAAAAACTCTACATTCTGCCTTAAAATTAGATATTAATATAATCATTACGAATCTTTAATCTTTCAAGACCACAACTATATATCTAAATTAAAAAAAATCAATGCCATCTTAATCGAAGAAGTATCAATAGTAGATAGTGATTTGTTGATTTTCGCTAGTAATATCTTCGCCAAGATCCACAACAATAATCTTATTTTCGGAGGTGTACTAATGTTATTAATAGGTAATCTGGCTTAACTACCTCCAATCAAACCATATTGCGTCTTTCAATCGTCTGCCTGGAAAAAATTTTTCCTATTATTTCTAACTATTCCTCAATGACAATGACAAAGATACTGATTTTTACAATATTCTACAAGAAATCCGTATAGGATGTCTCTCAAACAAAAGCAAATTCACCATTCGATCTAAAATTGATTTAGATGTTAACGTTCAAAAACTTTATAACACCACTCATATAGTCGATATTCGTCAAACAACGAATGAAATCAATTCTTTACTTTGTAATTGCCTACTATTTGACGATACCTGCAATGATCCCATCATCTCCCGATCTATAGACACCCTCGATTTTGAATCTTTAAACCATGATCATCTTATCTCCTGATTCAAATATTCAACAAACCTACCCGAATCTATACACTTACAAAAAGGAGCCTGAGTGATGTTTTAAAACAACAAATTATTCAACGAAAACATTTGTAATGGCTCGATCAGGATTGTAACAAAAATAATCAACTCTGAAAACATAGAAGTAACCTTCCTAACTTTTTCAAATATAAATAAAATCATAGTACAAAAAGAAACTTATTATTTTGAAATCGATAATAAACCAGCTTCTCAACTACAATTTCCTCTTCAAAACGTATTTGCTCTTATCATCTATAAAGTACAAGGATTAACTCTACTACACGCAACAACAAGCATAGACAAAGATATGTTTGCAGAAGGTCAAGTATATATTGCTATGAGTAGAGCAACATCTTGAGAAAATCTTCATATTCTTAACTTTGATGAAAAATATCTAAAATTCCTAACAGCCACTCTAAATAAATATAAAAGACTAAATACGATGTATATCATCAGTTTACAAAATTTATAATAGCCCTTTATTCATTACACTTCTAATTCTATAATTATACAGCTCGTATATTTATATTCTCTCTTTACTAACTATAGTCAAACCTCTTTAAGTACACATCTATAAGACTATACTTTAACAATATTATTTAGAAAATCATAAAAAAATGCATTTGTAGAAATTGTGTATATATTTGCACCAGAATATGAACATATGTACGTTTGAAGAAGATGTACACTTATAAAGAGTGTACTTATGGAGGTTTTATCATACTTGTAATATAACTCAAAAACATACAACCCAATTTTACATTCCTATAAATTTAAAAATATATCATAATGCTACATAAAATGGTACCAATTTTCTCATCCTCTGAATTTCACTAAAACATGCATTTACATTATCCAATTCGCTTACAATTCTGTAATTAACATGCTATAGCACTAGAATTACATCCAAAAAAAAATACTATCAAGTTCCTCATATATTCCCACACATTACACATCACCCTAAAAAATGTGAGACTTACACCTAACACTCAACTAACATAAGTATCACTAAAAGAAAACCTGACAATTTAAATATAAGTAATATTTAAATTTTCAGGTTTTCTTTTAACAACACTCATATACAATGTAGATACCTTATCTTCAATCTGCTTAACAAAAAAAAAACTGTAAAATTATATTAGAATTTTCTTTACCCCTATTAAAACAGATTATATCTTTCAAAAATCTATTAATCATTATTATATAGATTTTATTTTTGTATCAATATATACTTTCTTTTTTATAAAATAAAACAATCATCAAAACTGCTACCAATTATATTCAACCAGTTAAATTACAAACATAATACAAATAATGTAGTAATAATCATATGTAATTTTTTTTCTAATAAAACTTGAAATCTACATAACATATTAAATTATTATAAAACAATCTATTTATTTCACCTTTAATTTCTTCTACAATATTTAATATTTCCAGATTCCGTAATAACCAAACGTTTAGTAAAAAATATCTTTATGAAGTAATAACATCAGAATTTAATCTTGCTATTTAAAATATATCACAATCGTATCTTTTACTACAATCATACAGTAATTCGTTATAAACTTAAAAATTATATTAAAAGAATTTTAATAAATATAACTTTATTTATACATTTTGGTTAGCTCAAAGTTTATTAATAATTAAATTTTTACATATAAAAATCGACCATCTATTTATTATATAATCTGCATATAACCTACATTATGTTTGTAAATCATGTAACAACAGACGCTCAAATAAACCTTAACATGAGATAAAATTCTACGTTATTACATTACAGATAAAAACACTTTTTGTTAGACACTTTGCTTTTATAAAATTTAAAAATGTTAAATATTATGATATAATTAAAAACAAAATAAACCAATTTTTCTAATAGTAAATTAATATCAAACACAAATACCAAAATTTTATTATAAGATATTAACACTCATTCACTGATAAATCATTCTTTACACACCCGATTACAATTTATCATTTACACTATCTTATTCATACAAACCTCATTTTTATCTTCCTATTATATACATACAATCCCCCTGCGGTTGATCATATGAAATCTTGTTATTTGATTTTTAACTTTCAGAGTTTCGTACTCTCAAAATCTCTTAGCGCACAAAATATTTCGATCGCTTATACATACAATATTTACAAGTATATGGGATGAGATAAACTTAATTTATAGAATTATAGAAACTGGTTTAACATTAAGCAAATTTCATTTAAATTTTATTAAGCATTTATATTGCATCGCCTTATAATAATAATCTTATAAAATATTGTCTTTTTTTTGAAATCTTAATTATACATACATATTTGTTTTTGTTACATGCAAACTTTTCATGATACTTACTAAGTTATTAAATATTTTCTCCAGTAACTAAGCATTGAATTATCATTATTAATAACAAATCAATTTAATTCTGTAAAAAAAGTTAATAAAGCAACAAACAAAACATAATTCTATACAAAGAGAGAATACCAATCCTCTGAAAAACCTATGCAACGGCAAATTGAAATATACTGAGAACTTAAAGGTGGAGCTTATATATTTCTATTTTTTTTGAGTTTAACGAACACAATATGATTATGCCCGTGCCAATGCAGAATAACAGGTTTTTTTACAACGTCCAGGTCTTTTATCAAATGGCAAAAAAAGAAGACTTGACATAACATCTACACCAAGTATCGCTATCAGCATATTAAATGCATCTGATGCCAGTTGTGCATACTCTGGTGTATAAACCAGTATTCTTGTGAATATCTTGGCTGAAGATATGATAAAACAGTCATAAGCTGATTTGTGTCATATCCAAGTGTGTTGCTGTAAAAAGATTGATTCTTAGTTAGTTGAGATTTCATGGTGTTCTTGATATCTTGCCATTTTTTCTCTTCTTGAAATATAGCTACAGCTAATGATTGAAAACCGTAATGATCATCTCCAAGTGGATTGTATACCTGTAATTACATATACATCTCAATTAGCTTTTTTGAAAAAAGTAACCTTGAAAAATTTTTACCCATTGCTATATTCTAGTGTAATTATATCTGTATCTAAAAGAAATTTATTGAGAAGGTATAATTGATATATATTTGCTGCCTATGCAACCAATATATGGGGGTGAGTCAGTAGAAAAGGGACAAATCATTTTTAGTAAATTTTTTTTAATTTTTAAATTAAAATATCTTAACAATTATTTAATCAAATTTGCTAAAAATTTTTTTATTTTAATTTTGAAATTATATAAAATTAAAATAAAAAAAAATTTATTAAATTTAATAAGATAGTTGTTAAAATATTTAATCTTAAAGTCAAGAAAACTTTTACTTAGAAAAAATTTGTCCCTTTTCTACTGACTCACCCTCATATATCATATTCTTGCTCTCTAACCCAAAGACCGATATTACTATCATCTATATATTTTTCAATTAAATTTTGTCATTCCTGAATACACACAATGTCATAACAAATGCATATATTCATTTAATCCCTTTGTTTACCGAGTATTGTAGGTGTAAGAAACTTTTTTAGAGTTTCATTAACCTCAAGAAAAAAGTGACTGCTTAATTTAGATAACCCAACTGTTAGAAGTATATTATGTTGAAGCTCGAATCTCATTAGATATTCTTCTTGATTAATATAATCATTAAGACTAGTCAATAAACTATATAACGAGGTTGAACGATCAACTTTTTGATGAATGTGCATATTTATGGATTCAACCTTTTGGGTACTTTGTGCTCCTCCTGTAAATATTTTGTTAATCCAAGGGATTGTTCAAGAAAATTTATTAACATAAAGAGTATCTACTAGATATTTAGCAGCTATAGGATAATCATCCAACAATTTTGCCCATTAACGTTCAAAAAGGCTTTCATATAGACTATTATGGCAAATATAAAAATCTGATTTGAATTTCTCAAACTTAGAACCTAACTTTCTCTTTAATTGTTTTTTTAAATTTATAGTAAATCTATATGAAATATGCATATAATATGGTTAGTGATAGGATATATATTCTTAATTGCACTTGTCATGACTGAGTTACTATCTGTAAATATTGTTGTGGGTATAACACTGGTTTCTTCATATAACATCTCAAAAAGCCACTTAAATGTATTTAAAGTTTCGTCTTCAATAACACTACTTCCTACAATTCTTGTCCTATAATAATTATTAATTATGGTAATAATAAAAAGTATTAATTGGAAACGATTAGTATTTGAAGTAGTATCTATAATAACCACATCATGAAAGTTTTATATAAAGTTCTTTGAGTAGGTAAAACCTAAAATAATGAAATTAATCTTCTTGACATAGGATCTAAACATTGATTAACAATCCATAAAGGATTTTTTTCTTTCCATTTCAACAAAGTATGAAGCATGGTTGATGCGTTTAAATCACCCAGATTATTTTTTCGTCTAAAATCATAAATGGTATTGTATAAATCATGCTTATATATAAGACAATCAGGATAGTCATGTTTAAGTAACGGATAGATTTAACCAGAGTCTATTCTGCCTTAAACTATATATTTTTTGATATCAGCCAACATGACAGGTGTTAACTTGCGAAACCGAGAGGCAATTTCTTTAATCAGAAGGAAAAGCAAATGGTTATGATTAGGATTAAATGAATTGATTTTCACAACAAATATTGTCTTAGGAGATATAATGTTCAATTTCTAGTGATATTCCATCTGTTAAAACATATTATTATGCTACTTATTAGGATCAACTATCACCTATGGATCATATAAACTGTCTTTTGTATATATGTAAATAGCTCTTTTGATCCTGTCTTCTTCTTTTTTACTGGTTCTAATCCTATAATTAAACCCTTCTTGTTGTGCAAACCGAGTTAACCAAGTACTAAATGATTTCCAATCTAGAAATGAAAGTTTTGATTCTAATACTAACTTGTTGTCAAATATCTCTTCATCTTGAGATTTAGCCACCTCATCTAAACTCTCCTTTTCATGTGATTCCTTCTCATGAGATTCCTTTTCATCTGCCTCATATAAATTTGTCTTTTCATTATACACATCTCTCTGGTTATTTATTGGCACATTTAAAAGCTCAGTATAAGAATCAAAAGAATTTTGTGCAATATTACAATGAAAGTCTTGTAAGTGCTGTGGGTTTTGAAAGTTACAGGAGTCTTGAAAATGCTGATCATGAGAATCGACATGGAAGTTGTAAAGTTCTTGAAAGTTTATAGGATCATTAAAATCATAAGGCTCTTGTAAGTAATTATTATCTGAAATATTAGTCACAAAAGTCTTGATGATACCGAAACAAGGGGTCTTGAAAGTTATCATGAAAGCCGATGAGTTGGTGATCTTGGAGGTTATCACGAAAGTTGAATTCAGAGAATTCATTTGTTTCAACATTATCAAAAGACATCATGGTTAATTAAAATGCTGATTAAGATATGAAATGCAAGAAAAGTAAGGAAGAAAGTAAAAATTTGTAATGCAAAAGTATAAATTCTAATTAACAAATCAATAGTTTAATCAACTTAAATAACATGTTATATGATATGTGTTTCGAACACTGTTTACTAATAATTTATATAAAATTTTTAAGACTAGTTTTTGTTACACATAATATGGTTTCAAACACTAGTATCAAATTAGTTAAATTCTAAATTTTACTATAAGCCTGAATCTGAAGCAGCTCTATCTAAAACTTTTTTTTACTTAGTAAATCACTCTTAGGCTTATAACAAAAGTTGTAAAGCTTATCAAGATGCATTTAATAATAAAAAAACATTAAAATCAGCTTGGTAGTTCTTAAGAAATCTTTAAAAAACTTCTTTTTCATATATAAAATTTCTTTAAAAAAAATCGATTTTTTT